CTCAAATCAGCCTGTCCCTCTTCACGAGTCGACACAACTGGTTACCCGTATAATCATACTTTTCTCTATCGTCACTATCTTTCAAAGTACATCTTGAGCTTTTTCTTTAATTTGCTTGGTTGTCACTATCAAAGCATTACGTGCGTTTGCCATCCAAAGACAAATTAGGCCAGACGCCCTTAATGTTAAGTGATGCAATAAACAAGGCGGGGCCTAATGTGTAACTTAAACGTCTTAGGCAAATATGGTTAAAGCGCCTATATTTTGCAAACGCTGCTTTGTCAATGCCTACCTCCTATACTAAGAAGGCAACATCGGAAAGCCAACTTCTTTGCGTCTTATTTTGTAAATTGCTTTGCTCAGCAGCCACGCCTTCTGACGTCAGTTTTCAGTTTTGCATCTGTTTATGCATGCGAACAGCCGCATGGCACCTACCCATGTAAATAGTTGGACTCATCTTCTTCACTCCTCGGCGCCATCTACGTCCGATATCATTCGTAAGCCCGAAGAAATAACTGTAGGTGGGATGGGCCGGCCCATACCCCTTTAACACGAGAACCATTGATAGAAAATTATATGAAACCCGCCCACTAGGCATGCATATGCAGTGGTCGAGCCTTAGACTGCTCCACGATGGAATCACTGGCTGGGTCTAGCACTGTTGCGAGGACTGCGTACTCCGTTTCCCGCCATAATATAATAATAATAATGGATATATTTCTCTTTAAGTGAGAAGCTGCGTCCATATTAAGCACAGATCAAATATATACATGTAGTACCATGCTCTTGCATGGGCAATATGAATTTATGGTGAATAAAAAACATCCGTATATTCCTCGTCGGTGCGAGTTACAGTCCAACGGGATATTACGATTCTTGGTGTACGGCAGAATCGCAAGGAGCACATGTTATATTTTTCGGATTTTCCAAAGCAGTCTTCAAGCTTTTTGGTCGACATGACTAATTGGTCGGTTAAATTTTTCGGGAATATTGTGAGGTTTTAAGATAATAAGTGTAGATAAACAGAACGTATAAGTACTACGGCCATTATTAGGACAGCCTCCTAGGGACCTGCTTCCATGCGGGTTATTCTCTCGATGGGTTTCACCCGCACTTCCATGCCGCATCTGGCCGTGTGCTGGTATAGCTTTTAAAGCAGGTAAGCCATCATTTATGTAACTCATCTTTAGGGATTGGAGGGTCAAGTTTGGATTACACGTTGTGTGATTGGATTGCGACACTCAACCTCAATTTAATGGACTGTGATTCATATTGAAATGAACCTTAGTCACTGCGATCGCTGGGACCGTATTCAAAGTAGATGGAAATTGGGTATTGCCCACCCGAAAACACTGCACAGCCACGACGCGTTTCGATGTAATTTCATCTCATCAGGTGGAGACAGCAGGATTTGAACCCACGACCATTGGAATAGCAGCCAACACTACTACCCCTTTGGCTACCGGGTCACGATGGGCAATGATTTTTGTCACAACGGTAGATGACTAATTGGAGGGTCAAGTTTGGATTGCGACACGCAACCTCAATAATTATGCTACGGGAAACTTGGCATCACAAACATGTTGAAGACGCTATTGTAACAGCTGCCGATTTTGTTTTCCATCGTGCTGATCGCTCATGCACGTTCCGCAGCCAGGTTGGTGGTGTTATCAACTTTATTAACGCTTCCCGATACTCATCAGTGAAACAACTGTTCTGCTATTCGTCGCAACCTAGCGACTGCCTAGTTCTAAAGTGCATGCCAAAATATCTGATTGGATACAACTCAATCTTGCTAGTCAACATTTGTATATCCCCAAGTTGTCGAAGATCAGCAGCAGACGAATTTTGCGATGACCTCACGGCTGCTGTCATTATACACATCGACCATTCACTACGCATATTTGCTGGTGATTTCAATAGGTTTGACACCGCATTACCCACAACACTTGGACTACAGAACATCGTGAAATGTCCCACCAGATTAGAAGCAACCCTGGACTTAGTGTTTGTTAACAACCTGAAAATATTTTATATCATTACTTGGGCACCATTTGGAATTCCTGACCATTCGATAGTCAACTTATTTGTCGTCTACAGTAAGACGAACCACAAGGTCACTCGCTGCAAGGGACGTAAAATTAAACGGAGACAAACCATTCCCCCAAACATAGCACAACCGAAAAAATGATTGCCTCTACACATTTCAGTTTGTTCTTCGATGCAGATGTCAACATACTGTGGCCGGATGACAAGTTATCTGAACTTCTGTTTTTATCTCTGCTGTCCGATGGAAACTATTCTCATTCGTCCTGACCGATTCTCTTCACCACTCCACAAGCAGCTGCGTCGACTTAAGGGGTCTTCAAATTTGGAGATCTTGCCTCAGTAAGGTTTCTTTCTCTACGCATCAGGGAAGAAATTCACCACCTGAATCATGCCTATGTCCAATTTATTCTGGAGAACGATAATTGCTTTTATTTTTGGCAGATAATTAAACTATTTAGTGGAGTCGCTCGTCATAGTACGAACTCTGACATCGGCGTAGAAGAATTAAATCGCAATTTCTGCTGCTCCAGCAGTGACTCACTCCCCAACTCGTCATCTGCACAGATTCAGTGGCCTACAGATTCATCACCAATTGTTGATGTTACAGCACATCACAGGAAGCTTACCCAACTAAACTCAAGCAAATCAAGTGGACTTGACCGGTTGTCTCCCTTCGTCCTTAAAGTGTGTGCAGATTCACTAGCCCAACTGCTAGAAGAGTTGTACACGAGGTGCTTAAACCAAGACAAGAGAGCAGACTGTTAGAGAGCTTCCAGCATAACATCAATACCGAAGAAAGCGATGGGTGAATATCGACCCATTCCGTGTACTTCGGTGGCTTTAAAACTTCGGGAAATTCATTCTTGAAAAATTGCTAACCCAATCCTGTTCGAATGATGCACATCTTGTTGCAAGATCTCTTGGCTTCTGGTATCCAACCATCCATAACCATCTTGCTACAGGGTTATTTTGCCAAACGAACTCAGGCAACCATGTTCAACGGTAGGAGCTCCTTGCCTCTTACCACTACTTCAGGTGTACTTCAAGGAGCCATTTTGTCGCCATTCTTATTCTCTATTTACCTTGACTCCATTCCTGTCCTTGAAGAAACCATACTGCAAAAATACGCCGATGCCATACTAATCGGCGCGAATCATCTAAGCTTCTTCCAACATGTTACAATGTTTGGATAAAATCGTGCATTTGTCAAACTCCCGCGGCTTAACGTTGAATGCCTTCACGTGCAATGATACAGTGTTTTCGCTGCATAAGGCAGATCATTACCAGAAACTCGTCGCTGACTGTCCCCGGCTTCACATCAGTGGTGAAAGCCCGAGCTTCTCCACATCAGTGAAGTATCTGGGAATCACACTGAGCCATGGTTTATCGCGGCCAATTCACGTGAAGTATTCACCAAAGTCAGACAACTGTCCTTTTATGTCACACATCTTCGTTTGTCCTCGGTCTCCTACCAGTTGATGCCGCGATTCATCATTGCATGTGTTCTAACACACTGGACCTACTGTTCTCCTGTGATCTTTCCTGGCCTATTTGGTAGGCATTTCAAACCACTTCATAGGTCGCTGAAACACATATCTCGATACCGTAACATTTCTAAGCCAACCTTAGTGCAACACATTGTATCTGTTCATGTGAATTCATGCCCAAAACTTGCTTCGAAAATATTTATTGATAGCAGTCATCCCTTACATAGCGTTTTATCCAACTGCAAATCTAGTTCCTCAACGCGACGAAACTACAAATCCATATGTGCCCCCACGCCGGCCTACGGCTCATCTGCCACACCTTATCTAGCTAGATTTCTGCTTGATCGGAATATTATCATTCCAAAACTAAACAGAAAATTGTGTTATTGACCCTGTATCACGCATGAGACTGTCTTAGATGCCGTTTTTTATATTGTTTTTTCATGTATTAGATTGTTTTTCTTTACCGTTTTGATCGCGCATGTGTTCTAGCTGAATATTCACACTCCATGTGTGCATGGAAGCGAATACTTGACTTGGCTTTGATATGTAATGCTTGGTCGAGACCGCTGTTCCTACTCATCGTTGCCATTTCAATCTTGCCCTGCTTACATGCCTCACAAAAGGGAGAACTGAGTTTTCTTTAGTAGTATCTGTAGCTCTGGTCAGCTTCGGGTCGTAGTCTAACATGGTTACAAATGGAGGTGAAACATTGTGTCCCCTTTACCCATTTGGTCAACGCAGACGGAAGACGAAGGTTGTGCTATGCTAACATTTCGATTACTCTCGTCAGTGGGAGCACGCGACGGCTCGAACCACTCCGAACTGCAGACGTTTTTTCTTCCATTGTGAATGCCCTTCTGGTTTCACTCAACCAACACTAGCAATATAAGTGTGGAAAACTGAATGAACGTGGTTAATGGTTACTTTGAATTTGTATAGTATCCTCCGCTCTGATCCTCGTTGACACAACTCTACGGAGTGTTTAATCCTCGAAGTTTACGGCCACCTTTGGTCAGAGGGATTTCGGTGTTGCTCTTTCTTAACACACTCCCATGGCTGTTTTCGCCCTCGTTTGGACTCATCAGGTGAAGACAGCTGGAATTGGCGTGCGACTCGGTGCCTAATGTTTAACGCTTGACGCCTTGCTCACTAGACCACTGAGATATGGGAGCAACACTCCACAGCGGTTAGGAATTCGAAGTTGGATTCGCACTACTCGTCGTCCGTTCAGGCGCATTCAGGACGGGTTCCGAAGCACCGGAATACTATTGCCGTCGTTCTGTCAACGATTGTGTGCACTTAGTTAACCAACCTAGCCCTCTTGTGTGGCATCACGAGCCGTCCGCAAAAGCGACATTCATACCCTCTTTCGATTTGTGCGTTTAATCCGAACTTGAATTAACGCACAAGTACTAATTGCTATCAGACATGAAACGACCATTTACAAAATCTAAAAGCATCAAGTTGCACATATTTATTCAACTACAGGAATAGACTTGCTAGCTACGTCCAAATGCGTACAGTTGCATCGATACCAATTGGTGACGTTTGGCGTTTGGTATTGTTTGGTCTCGCGACAATTGTCCATACAAATGCAGCGGATCCAGATGAGTTAGGCATTCCAACCTTGTTCCGACCATATGTCTCACAAGAGCAGAACTGCGTTTTCTTTAGTAGTATCCGTAGCTTTTGTCTCCACCAGCTGTTGGGTCGTAGCCCAACGTGGATCCAAGTGGAAGTGTCGGAATCATCCTCGCGGCGCGCGATGCTTCGAACGACTCCGAACTACAGACGTTTTTTCTTCCATTGTGATTACCCTGATTTCGTTCAACCAACACCTGCAATAAAAGTATGGAGAGCTGAATATGCGTGGTAAATCGTCGCTTTGAATTTGCATAGTATCCTCCGTTCTTCCCATTTTGTGAGCCTAATTTGTAGATACTCAACTATGAACTTAATAACTTTAAGTTGTAAGGAGTGTTTAATCTTTGTTGTTTACGGACAGCTGTGGTTATTTTCAAATTCACTCTTGTTTCTTAACTCCAATTTGCTTAGCAATTCATCTTTGGAAGTTAATCCAGATTACCAATGCGCCAATAGACCTTGCTGACTGTACATACCCCCATAATAAATTAGGACTCATTACGGTTAGGCTGTGGCACTGATGACCAATTAGATCTTTCTAACTTCTCATTGAAGTAGATCTCGATCACTCCGTCCTAATAGTATTCGAAACACATGGCGTTTCTGTCTGTTACGCCAGTGTGCCAGTAAATACTGCGATTTAACTACTTTCGCGCTACTACTGGAAGAAGATAAACTTTCATTGGACCACTCGGTTCTATGACGTTTTTGATTACTACAATGTTCCTCGTTACTAAAGGCCACCCCAAACATTTTTGTCACGCCCTAACCCAGCCTACTTAGTATCTTAGTTGTTAGATGTATCACGAGGGAATATTAGGGGAATTTGATGTAAAAATTGAAATTCATCACACCTTGACTTAAGCAAGTATATGTCAAAAGTCCGGAAAGGCACTTAATGACTTTTTCTTTTCGACAGTGGTCAACCGTGTCCATTCTATCTGACACCTGTGGTCTTAGAACTAGCAAAGCGACTGTTACCAATTTGTTCTTAAGATCACTGACCGTATAAGTTACTTGGCGGCTTAAGTTCCCTGCGTTCATTGTTCAGGGGAGGGGGAAGGGGATACCCTGTCTTCTGCACGGCAGTAGCATGCAAGTCATTGAAGAGTGAGCTGCGTTGTATCACATTCAGTTGCTTGACCATTTCGACTGTTACCGTCCCCACAATCCAACACAGACTGACAACTGTCCGGTTATGTGTTCTAGCCCCACATGTGTCAGATGGGATAAGCACTGCTGAGGATCCCCGAAAGTATGAATCGGCTGTTGAAAGCTTTCCGGACGTCTACTTTCTATTTGACCAAGTTTAGATTAATCTCAAGTTAGCTATATACTGCTTTGTAGCACCTTTGTGAATCTGTTCGGACCATTATTGCTTTCAAGGATACTACTCACTCATGAATCAAACGATTCCGTGTCATCTACAAATGATACGAATTATGTGCGACGAAATGCCGCGCGATAGTTCTCCGGCGTCACAGTAAGTTATCGCTTCAGGATAAGTTTCAACTCACTGCTGTTTCGTCCTTTCCTGGTGGATTTCGCAACAGTAGCGTCAGGGGCGAATAGAGCAAGCAGACAATTGAAATCGACCACAACATCCTGTGAATTGTTGCGCAAAATGAGATTTATGAGATTTGTAAAATGCCACACGCAAACTATTTGTGCTCTATGTATTAATGTCACACTTTTCACTGTGAATTGGATTGCGCAATGTACTAACGAAAAGCTCACAATAGACAGGCTGAACTATCATACCTTGTGACCGAAAGATTTCTCAGGTCCCGGACAGAAACAATGGAACTGAACATTAATACAAGAAAAGCTTATGCACTGTGACGGATGGTGTTTATTCCTTTTTATCACTTCGATTTTAAAACGGATCGGTGAGATGTAATGTTACTGGTATTAATTCGCGTGGTGACACTGATCCGGTTACTCACCAGCTGAATCCCACCGTTTGGACCATCGATCCGCTCAATATGGGACCTGTTTGGAGTCAATAAAATTAAGGACAGGAACAAGCTTTAACTTTTCGGGTAGAAAACACATAGGTATGCCTTCTGAATCACAATGATTGATGAGCTGATTCTCGCAAACTACAGTAGATCTGTCCTTTAAAAATACGGTTCATGCCAAGCCTTAGGTTCGGACAACGAACATCCTAAGTAACTTTCACCCTACGAACTGTGCTTTATTTTGCAGGCTACCTATGTATAAGATACTATATAACATACCATACTAAGGGTATTTATACTTTTCAGTACAGAATGCTGTACTCACCGATAGCGAACCCCAAACAGAAGGCCACATCTGCGATGGCGTACACGCTACCGTAAACGGCCACGTGCCTCAAGTCGACGAGGTGTCCCATGATCGGCATCATGGAGGAGTCCACCATACCTGAAAGCAAAATTGCGGAAGTACTGGTCACAACCCTCACATTTGATGCTGTACATCCAGATTATCTCATGAATAATGGAGTATTATTTATGCACTACGCCATTTCTTACTTCGTGATGTTGTATTAGGGTGCAATGTTTGGACAATCCAATCACCGAGTAGTGAGGCTATTATGGACGATGCTCAACCTCACAAGAAAATCTTACTTGGCGGTTTAAGAAGCCATTTGACAACAAATTACTTATTAATATGAATGCATGTAACTTCGTTCCGTTATGTCTGTTACCGTGTCCAGTCGGTTCACTTCAGCGGTCGACGACCATAGCGTCACATGGCAATTGCAGCCGAACTATTGTGGGTTGACTTATATCAGGTATCGTACATTGTTGGCCTATACACCAGGTAGATAACCTTCGATCTAGTACATGAAGTTGTCCCCAAGCCCCTGTTTTGCCATGTTATATCCGCGTTTGATGGGGCGTAGGACCGTCAGAATTAAGACTTCAGCGCAAAAGGGATTGCATTAGCCGAACGTCAAGTCACACGAAACAGTCGACCATACAATATAGAAGATCGCGCCAGACATCCATGTCACATAATAGGAGCCCTCATACACATGGATCACATTGGAGTAGTGGGTGAAATTGAAATTCATAGTCAAAACGGCGCGACAGTGTTTTAATTTTAAGCACCGGATTGCCCGAATGAACAAGCTGTTGATGTCGTTTTCATTCGGATTATTATCTATTTCTTCAGCACATTTGAAGCGCTTTCATTCCATTTACCTTTTTGGTAGATTTCGCATTCATAACACTGACTGTATGGTTTAACTCGGAAGACCGTATACATAGGTCACTTGTAATTCTGTGTTACCATGCTTCATCTAACCTACAGCTACACTTGGTCAGACATGTACGTGGTTTCTCTGGTTAGCCTCTGTCTATTCTGAAGCTGCTAGCTTGCGTAGCCTCCAGTGTGTCTCTACTATCGTTATCAGGTGTAGAGTGCTGTACTCCGCTAAAGCTTGGTGCACAACACAACTGACTGAACAACTGCGTGTTGTCAACTACTTGACGTTTATCCGCATGTGATATATCCAGCATAGATACGAATCAAATGCGGACAGGGTGCCTACTGGTTCGAATCTCCGATTTGATTATGAACTCCAAACGACTTCTGATCTTCATTAATTGGAACGGAGTGCACGATCGAAAATGGTCCAAATGTGAAGCCAGCTGCAACTCAATAAGCACTTTGTGTTACTATGTTACGTCTGTCTCTTATTATTTCATCTCAGTGGGGAACTAATATATTTTGATTTCGTACGAGCCAAGTGCTTACGGTAGTCTTGTTGTGTTATTGTGTATTACCATTCTCTTCTGGAACTGTCGCAATTTATGAGTGCTTTGGGTTTTAGTGAAGTGGAGTCCGGATCAGTCATCACTCCCACACATATGCCTTCATTTCTTCGTTCTTCATGCGGTTGGTGCAGCACGGGTCACAGATGGACCTTCTATAGACAGACCTGACCTGTAGCCTTCATGTTGGTAGCCAAATTATTCCCCAGTCACCTAGGTCACTAAAAAGTTGGAAAAGGTTTCAACTATACGCCGGCACATTGTACCGATACTTCGTTACCAAGCGGTCACCCACTCCTACACGGATTCGAACCGTGACCACAAGATTACAACGCCATCCTGCAACGCTTTTGGCCACCGGCCGACCACCTGGGTCATTACGTCTACGAAAACGACACATATTGAATAATATCCCTGAAATACACCTACATACTATTTACTCTTGGGTTGGCAGGTCATCTATCGCATTGGATGAATTTGAGCAATGCGTTCTGTTAGACTTTCATCAATGTTTTCTTATCTGCTTAAACCTGCATCCTCGTTATATTCGCCCCGAGACTTTACCCTCGATGGGTCGTACTCTCCGCTTCCTGTGATTCCTGTAACTTGGGTCAGTTATTTTGTCTTCAGAACTGGCAATCTACCCAAATGACCGACTGCGCAGATGTGCTGGGGGCATGTATCCGTAGGTCCACGTCTGCTTGCCTACCAGAAATGCAGGTCCAATACTGACAACGCACCACCCAAAGTGCATCTCACCCACGTGACTAAGACGTCATTTTATGTCGTTTGTCACAAGTTTCGCCGGTGTACCAATATCATCAAACATATATCCGAAATTGGTAGATAGTAGAAAGATGTTGAGTTTCATCACCCTTCACGTGCATCATTCATCCGGTCTGAGTGCAAGGTTAGTCAACGGACAAAATAGACTACTTCTGGAGGTGGAAATTGTGTGTTGCCAGCCAGAAAACACTGCACTGCTTCCGGGTGGATTATCATACCGAAGTTGTGGTCGAAACTGTGATGCTTTGACTGGGTGTCAGATACTAAAAGTTACATAAAGCGTCACTCACCAATGGCAAATCCCAGTCCGAACATGGGCACAATTAAGTGTTCCATTATCGTCGAAAATGGAATCTGAAAGGTCAAGGTATGTTACATAATTTATTTGGCTGCAGATCCATTCAAGGTATGGAACTCATAGTGTAAATGCAACATTAGTCGCTGAATTCTGCATATGTATCTGCCGTTGTTTGCCGTTCATGTAAATATATATATATATAATGTACGTTCACTCACCGCAATCAAACATACTCCACATATAGTCATTCCCAGTCCTGCACTTATCCCTCTCCCAATCCGATGCGCGATGGGGCCGAATATGTTTGTGCCAATGAGGTATGAAATGCTGCATGGTAAGAAGGCCATCCCTTGTTGCCAACCCTGGGCGCGCATTTTCTCCCACATCCACAGTGGGAGTGTTGGCTCCAGCATCGCGATACCCATGTTCCCAAAGGTGATGGAACCTATTACGCATGAGCAAGGAGAAGGGTTAAGAAAGAGAAATGCAATTCCCGAACAATAAAACAATGGTTCCAGGGCTACATGAATTAATTAACTAAATGTGCAGTGTATAGCAGCTTGCACCTACATAAGCCCCCTGTAAATAGGGGTTCAGTGAAAAGAATGCTTGGTCATCGTACACTTCCATAATGACCACTTACAGAGCGTAGTAAATGTGTCACACTACATCCACCACTTTTCTTGCACTGTCGATCAATTTAAGTTGTAGGTTTGACTGAAGCAGTAAATGTCCCGTTCACACATTGACTGTAGTTAACCCAAAACAT